CTACTAGCTTCTCCCAGTTTCTGAATTTTTTGCATGTTTTATTCCTAAGATTAGGCAACTAGTTTAAAGTATTACTAAACCCAGGACCCTGCATTCACTATATCTGGTCTCCCACAGTACACACAACATGAACATGTAATTAATTTAGTAAATATAAACTGCTAAATACCTTTTCTCATTAGCAGCTAGAGCAGTCTTATGACTTCAGCAGAGCACTGGTTAAAGCTTGTAGGAGGAGTTTTCATTCTCCCCCGATTGTCCTATGAGGCTGAAGGACCCCCAACCCTCTGTCTGGACACTGCTGATTGGCCCTGTGCTAATCACATGCACCCTCCCAAAGAAAAAAAAAAACTCTAGCAATACACACCAAACTGAGCATGTGCAGCTTGCAATGGAAAAAAAGAATGGTTGGCTGCACATTTCAAGTGAAAATCAGTAATGACTAAGCACGTGTTCGTGTGAAACGCTTCTACTGCTCCTCTGTACTGTCTTGGAGCTGTCATGTTCTTATTATATTGCATTTAAAGGATTCCAATAAAGAATTTCATCCCCCACATCGCTGTTTGTGCGGCCAACCATTCTGTTTTTCCATTGCATCTGTGATCACAGATTGGGCCAGAACCTACGTGTCTGTGGAGGGGTTATGCAGATACGGCACTCACCTGGAGCGGATCTTTTGCTCTTTCATGTGCAGCTTGCCCCCAAGGCTCTATTCTAACAGCAGATGGATTGGGGACAGTAAAAGAAGGGGAGGATCAGAGAAGACAGGATCAAACATTCTTTTTACACAATGCAGAGGATTAACCCCTTAGGTTCCACAGTACTTTACTGCACATAGAGACCGATTTTACTGTTCTGGGGTTAGTAATGCTTTAATTATAAGACAGGTCATATAATTTATAAAATGTTTCTTTTATCAACAACACTTATGCTTTATGTTAAGTAAATTATTTTAACAATAATAATAATAATAATAAGTAAATAATTACCAACATAAAATAGCTGTTCTCATAAATTAGTATTTTTTTTAATAATATAATAAACATTCAAAAGATTTCTTGCAGCTCTTTTTAGCAGTTTTGCGCTTATTTTATCATTAGGGCATATGTATAACATATTTTACATCACAGGCTATGAAAAAACAAAAGACTGAAACAACCTGATATCACCATGACAAAATGCAGTTACGGTATTGTATTTGGGTTACAGTTGTGTTAATATTATAATACATTCAGCTAAGGCAACTGCACTGCATTGTGTCAGGCTAGGCAGAGATTAAGGCAGATATCAAATCAGTTTGTAGAGATACAAAAAAGAGATTAACTGGTTGAAATAATTTAGAAAATGAGAGTGAAGGGTAAAGTATATCTCATTACCAAGCAGTTATTGGAAAGCTTAGATACAGTAGCAGACAAGAGTAAGGGAACAGTGCTCTGATTACTTGAATGAACAAATCCTCTTTGATGCTGAAGATATAACAAACATGGCATAAGATGTCTCCAAAACACAGATTAGCTAACAAATAAAAAAGATTTCAATACTACCTGTATATTAGAGGAATTTCTAATTCTAATTAAGTGGGAAGAAGAGTACTGACTAGCAACGATAGGAAGTATTATTGTACTAGAGGGTTTTTGATCATACAGGAACACTGACAGACTGGGACTCTAACAATGTAGTTTATTACAGTAAATAAAGACTAAAGTAAAGTTCAAGTTCTAGAAGAATGCACACCCCAGATTAACATTTTTAACACATCTTTAAATCCAAATAATCTGGATTAAAGCTCTAATTGCTCATCTCTACCCATAATAATCAACAGGTAAACTAGTGCACACAGTGTTTTCTAAAAAGGTGTTTATTTTTGTATTTATAAAACACAAACAATAACAAAACAAGGAAAAGACAAATAATAACAGGAACTCAAAACAAAAATCAAAGAATAAGGATACAGAAAAGGGGATCAAAAAACAAACAGCAAATTATTGTAGGCAAGAATTGTATGGGGTATACATATAACAAAAGAGAATCACAAAACAACATAACAGCATAACAGGTAAGCAGTTAGAAACATACAACAGCAGCTAGTGCACACACTTTAATAAATTTGTCCAAGATATGAAATTTAAAGTGTTACTAAGCCCACAACAGTAAAATCAGTCTGTATGTGCAGTAAAGTATGCTTGGTTTACTCATTGTGGAATTTAAGGGGTTAATCCTCCACATTGTGTAAAAAGGATGTTTGATTGTGTCTTCTCTGATCCTCCCCTTCTTCTACTGTCCCCAATCTATCTGCTGATAGGATAGAGCCTTGGGGGCAAGCTGCACATGCTCAGTTTGGTGTGTATTGCTAGATATTTTTTTTTCTTGGGAGAATGCATGTGATCAGCACAGGGCCAATCAGCGCTGTCCAAACAGAGAGTCAAGGGTCCTGCAGCCTCATAGGACAATCCAGGGAGAATAAAAACTCCTACTACAAGCTTTAGCTGCTGGACTCTGATAGAAGTCACAAGATTGCTCCAATTGCTGATGAGAAAAGGTATTTATCAATTTATATTTACTAAAATAATTGCATTTCCATGTTCTGTGTACTGTGAAAAACCAGATATAGTGAATGTAAGGTCCAGGGTGTAGTAATACTTTAAAGCATGCAAATTGTTTAGGTCAGTGAAATTAGTCTAGGCAGGCCAAATGAGTGATCACTGATAATACATTTGTTCACATGCAACAGTACAGGATGCTATTAATACACCTAAGATACCATCTGTCATTGACTGCCATTTCTATAGGTTTAGATGAGAAATGGATATTGCATGTACCAGTGTAATCTTGAAGTGACCTTAATTTAAATAAAAGTGAAAAACTATGACAGAGATAGAAGTTTTCGTGCTGCCTTTTGTTAAAGTGATTTTAAAGCCAAGACATTTTTTACCTTAATGCATTCCCTGCATTAAGGTAAAAACAATTGAATACTGTCCGTAATACTTTTTTTATTTGCACTAACAAACAATTTTGAGAACAAGTTTCGGGGAGTGTCCCCTTCTTCAGGTCCAAGCAGTACTGATCAAAAAGGTTTAGCAGAATGTTAGAAGAGATGTAGGGGATGGTAAAAAAAAAAAAGAGAGAACAGAGATAAGACACAGCAAAAGCAAAGTCTTTTGGGAGGGGGAGACAACACTCACAGAGGCAGTCATGCTTCAGGTGATAGTCATAAAACTGTTGGATAATGATTGAGGAATCCCATGTCCAAATTCAGGCCGTTATCTCTTGTCAAAATTGTTTGTTAGTGCAAATAAAAAAAGTATCACGGACAAAACTCGATTGTTTCTGTCATAAATGCACTAATACAGCTACAATCACCTCTGCATTAAGGTAAAAAATGTATTGCCCCTCATACCCTATACACTTACCTGAGTCCTGACTCAGGGCTCTGCCCATCTGTAGTGGCTCTCTCCTCTCTCCCTGCATTCACAGGACAGAAAGGCAGCAGCAGGAACCAATCAAATCCTGTGAGCCAAGGCAGGGGGCGGGGCCTAGACTCACTGTGTGTGTCCATGACACACACAGTCCAGCTTGGGAGCAATATGCACATCTGTCCCCATAGCAAGTGGCTGCAATGGTGGCAGTCACTGAAGAGGAGGAGCTTTAAACGCCAGCGGAGGACACCAGAAGAGGAGGTTTGGGACCAAACAGTTTGCTCAGCGCTTTACAATATAATGGGAGACGATACAGCAACAATACAGTTCAATACAGGAGGGTTAGGAGGGCCCTGCTCCTTGGAGCTTACAATCTAGGAGGGAGGGGCTAGTTGTACAAAAGGTAGTAACTGTGGGGGATGGACTGGTAGGAGGAGTAGAAGATTCCATTATTAGCTGAGGGCAGGATAGACTTCCCTGAAGAGATATGTTTTCAGAGATTGCCTAAAAGTGAGCAGAGTAGGCGATAGTCTGATAAATTGGGGTAGAGAGTTCCAGAGGATGGGGGAAGCTCTGGAGAAGAGCATGGGAGGAGGAGACAAGGAAGCTAGAGAGCAGGAGGTTGTGCGAGGAGCAGAGGGGACGGTGTGGGTGATATTTGGAGACAAGATTGGTGATGTAATTTGGGGCAGAGTTATAAATGGCTTTATATGTTATTATTAATGTTTTGAATTTTATCCGTTGGGCAATGGGAAGCCAGTGGAGGGATTGGCAGAGAGGGGTGGCAGATACAGAACGGTTAGTAAGGTGGATGAGTCTTGCAGCAGCATTCATGATAGACTGAAGAGGGGATAGCCTGCAATGAGGTAGGCCAATGAGGAGGGAGTTACAATAGTCAAGGCGAAAGATAACAAGGGAGTGGATAAGTTGCTTAGTAGTTTCCGAGGTTAACTAGCAGATAGCTGAATGATGGCTGCACTGCGGCTGGTCAGTTCTGGGAGGCCGTCATATAACGTCCTCCCAGAATGCGCTCTCCTGCACGCACCCGGCGATCTCCGTGATCACTGTGTCCTACGGACACAGCTGATCACGTGATGTGGTAAAAGACCAATCACAGCATCCTTTTACCGCGTGATCAGCCTTGTCCAATGACATGCTGATCACAGGGAAATGTAATTTCCTTTTCTCAGCTGCACTTTCCTCATGCTGTCAGAGCGTGAGGAAAGTACTGCAGAGAACCAGCAGTTGTCAGAGCAGGGATCGGCACAGATCATCAGGGCACTGATGATCAGTGCCTTAAAGATTGGTGCCCAGCAGTGCCACCCACCAGGTCCACCCACAAGTGCCCAGCAGTGCCGCCCACCTGTGCCCAGCAGTGCCACCCACCTGTGCCATCCACCTTTGCCCAGCAGTGCCACCCACCTGTGCCCATCAGTGCCCACCTGTGCCCATCAGTGCAGCCCAGCAGTGGCGCCAGTCAGTGCGCAGCAGTGCTGACTATCAGTGCCGACTATCAGTACCATTCACCAGTGCCAGCTCATCAGTGCCGCCTATCCGTGCCACCTCATTAGTGCTGCCTATCAGTGCCACCTAACAGTGCCCATCAGTGCTGCCTATCAGTGCTGCCTATCAGTGCCATCAGTGCTGCCTACCAGTGCAGCCTCATCATTGCACATCAGTGAATGAGAAAAATTACCTGTTTGCAAAATTTTATAATAGAAACAAAGAAACTTTTTTTTTCACATTTTTTTGCTATTTTTTGTTTATAGCGCAAAAAGTAAAACACCCAGCGGCAAGTAAATACCACCAAAAGAAAGCCCTATTAGCGAGAAAAAAATTATAATGTCATATGGGTACAATGTTGCATGACCGCGCAATTGTCATTCAAAGTGTGACAGCGCTGAAAACTGAAAATTGGCCTGGTAAGGAAGGGGTTTAAGTGCCAGGTAAGCAAGTGGTTAAAAATGTGCGTATCTTGGAGATGTTGCGGAGGTTAAGTTTACAAGATTTGGACAGTGATTGGATTTGGGGCAGAAAGGACAGATGGGAGTCTAGGATTACACCTAGTACCCTAGCATGAGGGGAGGGACTGATGGTTGTAATATTGGTCTTGATGGAGAAGTCAGGGGAGGGGGCACGGGGTGGAAAGTATAACATGTTTTTCATTGTAAGAAAAAAAATGCCTTTATAACCGCTTTAAGGTCAGTCTGATAAGTATTCATTATACATGTGTGGAGACTAGGCTGGTTGTGTTACCTTTATATATCTCTATTTACAAGTGATTCTGGTTCAAATTTTGGTTGGAGTTAGGATTTAAAAATAATCATATGGTGATACATAGTTACACAGTTAATCTGGTTGAAAAAGTCCATCCAGCTCAACCAACAGAGAAAAAAAAGACACACTAATAAAAAAAACCTCCATATACAGTATCCTATACCAATAATTAGTACCTGAAATAAATAAATAAATAAATATAGACAGAATTTGTTATATGCCACATTAGCTACATTTCATACAACATGATGCATGTTTATCATCTCATGTTGTATTGTTAGGACAGGACTTCAGGAGCCTGGAGGTACCCAAAATCTTCTGCCTGTAGCCCCACCCATAAACAGCCACACCTGTGTTGTGCTTCCTAAAACAATTTTGTTTTTTTTTTCAATAATTGCTAAAAAAAAACAACAACTTGTAAGTAACAGATGTTCTGGAGTTACCAAGGGCTGGTAAAATTACCCACTTACCTCTTATGGACCAGAGTCATTTTTACATTTTAGCTAAGAGCTTATTGATTCAGCAATAACTTTGTCATGACCTAAGATAACTAAAGTAATACATATATTGTTTTTAGTTTTTTTTTTAACAAACAAGACTTTCTTTTGTCAATATTGTCTTTCAAAAAATAATTTATTTTCTATGCAATCCTTAACCACTTGCCTACCGAGCACTTTTACCCCCTTCCCCATACTTTGAATGACAATTGCGCTGGGGTTTTTATTTTTTGCTAAAAAATACTGAAACTGTTAAAAAAAAAAAAAATTTCTTAGTTTCTGTTATAAAATTTTGTAAATAAGTAATTTTTCTCCTTCAATGATGTGCGCTACTGAGACTGCATTGATGGGCTGCACTGATGGGCACTGATAGGTGGCACTGATGAGGAGGCAATAGTAGGTGGCACTGATGGGCATTGACAGGCATCACTGGTGGGCTTTGACAGGCATCACGGATGGGCATTGAAAGGCAGCACTCATATATGGCACTGATAGGTAGCACTGATTGGCACTGATAGGTAGCACTGATTGGAACTGTTAGGCAGCACTGATGGCACTGATAGGCGGTACTGACAGACACTCATAGGCGGCACTGATGGGCACTGATAGGCGGCACTGACTGGCACTGATAGGCGGCACTGACTGGCACTGTTAGGCGGCACTGACTGGCACTAATAGTTGCCACTGTAAGGCAGCTCTGATGGGCACTGATATGTGGCATTGATCAGGGTAGCCCCATCAATGCCACCTGTCAGTGCCCATCAATGCCACAGACCAGTGTAGATGTCCCCTCTGAGGAATGCTGCTTACCGGCTCTCCTCTCCTCATGCTCTGTCAGCGCGAGGAGAGGACTGCTGATAACCGGCATTTCCTTGTTTACATGCGATCAGCTGTGATTGGACACAGCTGATCACATGACAGAGCCTGTGTCATCAGCTCTTTACTGTGATCGGTGATCCGCTGTGTCCCAGAGACACAGCGCACAACCGATCGCCACATGCCCCCAGGAGCACGCATGTGCAGCTAGAGTGGGAGAATGTCATATGATGTCGTCCCAGAACGAGAAAGCCGCTGCCCACCCATCATTTCCTTATATTGCGGTTAAACAAAACAAAAAAAAAAACCCCAAAAGAACAAAAAAAAGGATTTTTTTTTCTATTATAACCAGTATCAGTTTTAAAATAACTAGGGTGTATTTATAAATCAGTGAATGTGAAATTACATTTTTGATGCAACAAAAAAAAAATATAAACAAAATTTAAACTTTAAGTAATTGTAAATTTTAACTATAAAAGCAAGCAAGCAAACAAACCTAGTGGGGAAAAAGTTTAAACAAATAGTATTAAAAAAATGAAATGCAAAAAAGGGCAGAAAACAAAATAGCTAGGAAGGTAGGAGGACGGAAGAAGTTACAGTAAAATGGAATGATTTAGGGTAATTTAGAGTTAATTAGGGATTAAATAGGTAGACTGTTTACTAAAAGAACAAAAAAAAATCACTTGCTTGGTTGCGAGGTTTTTTTTTGATCTGAAAATTAGGGAACTTAATAAAAAATGCATAGTAATAATATGATTGGTACAATAGGGTTATTGAGTTCCCATAATTTTAGGTGCGCCTTGCAAAGTAGACCCTATAGACGTGTGTAGTGTGCCTTGTGGTAATTATAGCCCCTTGTATTGTTCCAAGTGCTGTGGAAGAAGTAAGAGCTGCTGTTTAAAACTGAAAATGAAAGAGATAGAGTTGTTGGCTGCAGTTTTATCACTGGGAAAATGAAAAAAGGTGTCTTGTTGGTTGCTATGATCAACTGCTTGAGTTTTTCCAACCTGCCTTGCCATAGCAAAAGGGAGTTTTAATAGCATCAAATTCCACAACGGTTTTTTTGTGGTGATAATATGCTGTCTATTGTATCAATGTCTAAGCCAGAGTTAATGTTAACCCTTTTGTTTGGCCAGGCCTGTGTGTATCAGAAATCTATAGGTTCTGTAATGTGATGGATTTATATCTCCCTACTTGATTGCTTGTGTCAGCTAACAGTATACATGAGGTCAGCCTTCCCCAGCCAATATGAAGAAGTTGTGACGTTATGAAGCACAATGCTACAACACGCCTGTAAGATCTTCTGGCCCCACTTGCTTCAAACAATTTCATATCTACGTGAACTTCAATGTAAACAAGCCATGCAGAATATCAGGGAATGACATGCTTTACAATAATAAGATAGACCATTAGTACAATTGTGTTTCAGCTTCAATGATTCTGCTGCAAGAGAAGAATGACCTTATTATTGGTACAGATGATTCTCTAGCTACATAATAGTAAATAGCATCGTATCACAGATGAAAAAATGGCCCGTGAAAGTAAATCTGCAAAATGTTATAAAAAGAAATGTTTTAGCTTTAAGTACTGAGTCCTCTCAGTTCTACTCCCCCCCACCCCAAATAAAACTGTAGACACACAATTTTCTTCCAGCCTAAAAATATTGAGAGTGCTATTAGCTACATGTTAGTATGGCCGATAATAATAGATAATAGGAAAATAAACACACAGAAATTTCACTTGAGATTTAGTTTAAATCATTGGTGGTCATCTCAATATTGGTGATCTCATGCACCAACCCTGACATTATAACAGGGTTGCAAATAATATTCAGTGTATGTAATGCTCAAAAGGGCTGTTATAGACTGCAAGCATACTACAGTAGATGGTCAGAGACTGTGGGCATGCTATAGGAGACCACGAGCACTGGAGTAGATTTACTAAAGGCAAAGAGACTCTTCACTTTGCAAGGGAATTATGCGCAGATCTTAGTGAATGAAGTGAGGCTCTGCTGACTAACACCATTCAATTGTGTGCATGTGCAAGCATAAATTATGTTTTTTTTTTAATTTTTTTCCATCCACGTGATTGGGTATTCTTTGCAATATGAAATTTGACCACATTCACCAAGCTCTGGGGAAAATTCCCTACAACTTTCCTTGCAAGATGAACAGAGTTCTTACTGCCAGAGCCTGAGGGCTGCTCAAAAAGTACCAAAGGGCCCCCAGAATGAGCACCAAATGTCTAAATTGCCCAACATAACTTTTTATTTATTTATTATTTATTTCAGGCACTTATATAGCACTGTCAATTTACACAGCGCTTTACATATATATTGCACATTCACATCAGTCCCTAACCCTCAAGGGGTGGTGTACAATCTAAGGTCCCTAACTCACATTCATACATACACATACTAGGGCCAATTTAGATACCAGCATGTCTTTGGAGTGTGGGAGGAAACCAGAGTACCCGGAGGAAACCCACGCAGGCACTGGGAGAACATTTTTTCTCAATAACTGATCTGACCCAACAATATGAACGGATGTTCAGTAAATCTTGAGATGAGGTCTTGGATTTATAGACTGCATAATCTAGTTCCAGTATATATAAAATGCCCAGAGAGAGGCTTCTTTAGATAACAGTCCAAAGGCCCCCATAAACATTAGATAATTGTTGTAAGCCCCTATTTAGAACCAGATATAATGTCTATCCAACCTCTGCAAGCACCCATAGTTGTGCCCAGTACCTTAGGGTACCCTAGTTGCTACAAATGACATTGCCATTGGACAAGGGGTCAGCAGTGGCCACTGAACATTCTGTTTTGTCCTGACTTTGGGCTAAAGAAAGCACAGAAGCCTCACTGTGTAATGTTCGCAAATGGTAATTCCACTTAACTGGGGACATCCCCAATACCCTGTTGATTGCAGATTTAGTCTCAAGTTGTTTAACTTGTTTATAACTCTAGAATAAAAACGTTTAAGGTTATTTATCCAATATTACACATATACAGTATATTAGTAAGTAATAACTGGAGTTCTTTTTTTCATTGTTTTTTCCATAGGTCCTGCAATTCCTGTTGGGGTTGATGTACAAGTTGAGAGCCTGGATAGTATTTCAGAAGTGGATATGGTAAATGCTGATTGCTATAGTCACTAAAAACGTAACTATGTTAAATGACATTAATGTCTAACACATATAATCATAACCTAATACTAACAGGTAGGCTTTTTTCTTCTCCAATCAGGACTTCACTATGACACTGTACCTGAGACATTACTGGAAGGATGAGCGGTTGTCTTTCCCGAGTAGCACCAACAAGAGTATGACATTTGACAGCCGACTTGTAAAGAAGATATGGGTGCCTGATGTCTTTTTCGTTCATTCAAAAAGATCTTTTATACATGATACAACAACAGATAACATCATGCTGCGAGTATATCCAGATGGACAGGTTTTATACAGCATGAGGTGATTATTTTTTATTATTATTATTTTCAGAAAATATAAGGATATATCCAAGGTTCTTCTGACCATTATTTTATATAAATACTGAAGTATGTGCCAATGCAAGTAGCTAAGTGTGGGAAATCCTGAATTTCTGATTCTAATTCTCTAATGTATATTCAGTGCTGAATACTGTCAGACATATACATGTTCTGAAATTATGCTGATACTAGAGGATATTGACATGGTAGCTTGTTACTGAGCAGTCTTGTTCAACAGTACAGGACCCTCACAGGGCAAGTGGGCAGATCAGAACCGTTTTCAGAGAAATACAGGGATATCCCAGATGGATGCTGGGTAATTGATGTAAGATAAAAAGTTGAAGCCAGTAAAATCACTCAGAATATAGGTGGTTCATATGGGACATTGAGTGACAGAATGTGGCAGAGAATAGATATAAGGTGGAAATCTGCCCAATACAAGAGATAACAGTAGGGGGTGTACACCTTCTGTGTATATGGGTCTTCCAAAATCTACGTATGCAATTAAGCATTTAGCAGTACAGATGACAACAATTAACTTGCATGGGACTAACATGTTGTACTTCTGTTTTGGTGTATATTCAGTGCAGTGGAGGGCATGAGCAAGTCATTAAATGTATAGAAGTAGACTGACCTATTTTTTTTAAGTCCACAGAGAAAAATTGGGGAAACATGATAATTTTATTATTGCAACTTCTGGTTATGAAATAACAGATAATATACAGTACATCTGAACTGTGCAATCCCATTAAAACACTGCAGAAAATAAATATCAGCAATTGAACAAATAGCAAAAAATGTCAGACTACGAAAATGCAAATATTGCACCTCCATTATTTTCACTTAAATTATTGCACTTAAATTAACCTAGTATTGACATATAGGGAGTTGGAGAAGAAAAAGGGAGAAGTTTTCAGTAGAATGGATGAGTTACGATATCATCAATTGAAATATTTCTTCGGGAGTCTCCCAAAACCTGTGAGAACCAGAAAGGAGTGGAATTCATTTGAAAAATTATTAGAAGCACGGGGAGATGGGAGACACGCAGTTGCAAAAATGTATAGAATATTAACGGAATTAGACACGGGCACAAAATTAATATATATAGAGAAGTGGGAAAAAGCATGCGGGAAGTGGAGTTGAAATATAAGTGTTTAGTAAGATGGCACATCACACCAAATGTGGAACACAAATTGAACGGGGAGATTTCACCATTGTGTTGGAGAGGATGTGGTGAAGTGGGTACGTTATATCACATATGGGAGTGTTTAAAAAATACAGGTGGGAGAAAATTGTATTTAGTAAGGAAAATACATTGACATTAGATTGGATCCAGACTATGTCTTCTCCATGTCACAGAGCTTTCAGTGAGATCATATAAGGATTCAGGATTATGGTATTTCTTGAGCGCAGCTTAGAGTCTTATACCTAGGTTCTGGAAAAAAAAAAGGGAGGTGCCGACAGAGGAAGATTGGATGGTCAGAATGAATCAGATTTGTGCGACGGAAAGATTATATTATATGCATATGGATATGATGGAGAAGTATAATATAAAGTGGAAAAAATGGGAAGAATATAGAGAAAAAGTGAAATATATGATGATGATTTATACCCCTGGAAATAAAAGTGGATTTTAGAAATGGTTTTTAGAGAAGAGAATAGCAGAGTGGGAGGGGGGGGGGGGGGAAGGAAGGGCAGGGGAAGTGGGATATAGATAAATTATGTCAATAAGAATATATCGATTTGATGTTTTTTTTTATAGAAATAGGTGTTTGTAATTTGTATTTGGATGAAAATTAATAAATATTTATAAAAAAAAACCCCAAAAAAACCCTAGTATTGACATAATATAAATATGACATAGAAATTAACCTAGTATTGACATAATATAAATATGACATAGAAATTAACCTAGTATTGACATAATAATAGCTATGACGTGTAAATTAACCTAGTATTGACATAATATAAATATGGCATAGAAATAACCGAGTATTGACGTAATAATAAATATGGCATAGAAATGAACCAAGTATTGTCATAATAATAAATACAGCATAGAAATTAACCTAGTGCAGACATAATATAAATATGGCATAGAAATAACCAAGTATTGACATAATAATAAATATGGCATAGAAATTAACCTAGTATTGACATAATACGACATAAAAATTTGGGTCATGAGTCCAGATTAATACCCTTGCAGATTTAATACACTAACACTCACAGAGGAAGTGTATAGTTTATAGTTTATTAGCCACATTATACAATTCTTCTCTGTGAGTGCTAGATGTTAGGGTATTAGGCTGGGTTCACACATATGTGGTGCAGTATATCACATGTAATTCGCACAGGAACTGCACCGCATTCCTGAGCAAATCACATCGAATTGTGTGCGGTGCATTCTGTATGACTCCAATCGCACCACCACCAAAAAGGTGCAGGACCCTTTTTATGGTCCGCACTACAATCAGATTGCATGGGTATTCACACCAATGCGATCTGATTCTGCACATTTTTTTACATGTGTGTGTTTTACTAGGGAGACATTCTGCACAGCAGTACACAGCAGCATGTCTTTGCTGGCAGGAGAGAGACCTGTGTTGTTTACACACAGGTCTTTCCCGTCAGTTCTACACGGAGAATGGGGAATTACCGGCCGGGATCCGGTGATTGACATCCGTAGCCGCCAGTGGCAGCACTGGTAGGGTGGCGTGAACGCGCCCCTCTACCCAAAACTGCAAATCACGTATATCTGCCGTCCTGTAGCAGTACTTCTACTATAGGGCAGCGGGAAAGCGGTTAACTTGCTTTTAGTGGTGATTTAATATTTAGTTTTGTTATGTTTTGGTTTGTTATTTGTAATTTTTATTTTGTCTTTATTTTTGAGTGTAACTGTAATTTAATAATTTCCCTGTTAGAATTAATAAAGTATTCTGAATCTGTATCTGAATCTGGTGGTGTAAATTCCAGTCATTTTGTGTCACTAAGAGATTGATTTACTAAAGCCAAATGACCTGCGCGCTCTGCAAATGTAGTTGCCCCAGAGCTTAGTAAATGAAGAAGCTCTGCAGACTTCCATCATCCAAGCAAAAATTGTGCAAGGAAAACGGCAGTTTTACTATTTTCCTTGCATGTGATTGAGTATTCCTCGCAAAGTGAAGCTTTACCTCATTTACTAAGCACTGTAGTAACTGCGCTTGCAGCGAGCAACTGCACTTGCAAAGTGCACAGTCTGTTTGCCTTTAGTAAATATCCATTTCCCCAAGAGTTTACCTATAGAGCTCTGTTGTTGCTCTATGGAGGGAAGGTTAGCACTATTCCTTTCTTGGGTGGAGGAAATCCAATGTGCTTCAGAAGCAACTTTACCAAAAGTGATTTCCACGTTATGAAATCTGGCAATTGATGAAGAACCAAACCACCAAACTACTTTTTCTGAGGTAGGAGAGAATGTTAGATCTTTCTTTACACAGAGTTAAGAAACAAATATTTTTGATGTAGGCATTTTATTAGTAATAAATATTAGACAGAGTTTTACAAATATGTTTATGGAAAATGTTGTCAAATCATATTCTTACCACAATATTCTTGTTATCACTACAAAGGATCACTGTGACGGCAATGTGCAACATGGACTTTAGTCGTTTTCCTCTGGACACCCAGACCTGTACCTTGGAGCTCGAGAGCTGTGAGTAGCACCATTTTAAAGGCTTAATGAAATAACTGACCACTTTTTTCTAGAAATAAACATATTTATTTATTTTTGTTTGAAATAATGTAAATAAACAACATAAACAAATACATTCAAAATGCTATACATTTTCTTTAAATGTTGTGAAGCTGAACCAACATAAACGTTAAAAGAAACCTGTCTTTAGATAAATATTTCAGGCTGCTAATGTCTGACCTTCAACTGCATTGAAAATTGTGGTTGCCTGGTTGCCATACTAATGCTTTGGCTTCTTAATGCAGACAAATCATATACTGTAATTATGATATGCAAACATATGAAGCTTGGTTAGCTTGACAGTGTGCTGGGAATATATATAAAAATACACAGCAAAAGATCCCAATACAATATCCCAGAAAAGTTATCCACCTCCACCCTTGAAGGCCAAACAAACGAAAATATAAGACTTTTCTTTTTAACAAAAAAATAAAAATAGATATATCAACATATCCAACAATACAAAAAAGTGTCCAAAATATCAAAATTGTCAAAAAAAGTCCCCACAAATGTAAACCATTACTGGGAATGTTTGCGTTGTTTTGTATATTCTCCTGCCCATGTGACCTTTCCTTTTTTGCTAGTTTTGAATTGATCTGAGTGATTGCCTTTGTTGCTTCAATTTAAAGTATAACTCCATTTGTGTTAGAAAAAAAAATCAAATGTAAAGAGAACATGCCAGGTCTTACATATTATGGTGTTTATCTAACATTCTTTTATTTAAAGATGCATATACCGATGAAGATCTGATGCTCTACTGGAAGAATGGAAATGAATCCTTAAAAACAGATGAGAAGATCTCACTATCTCAATTCCTGATTCAAAAATTCCATACTACATCTAGACTAGCCTTCTACAGTAGCACAGGTAACATCAACTACAGAACAAAAGAAAATAATCAGAAATTTAACATGACACTTAAGGGTCCTTTCACATGGGGTCACTCTGCTCTGTTCAGCGGGGGATCTGTGAGCAGAACCCCGGTTGAATCTGAGCTGAATGGAGTGGAGTCAGTTTTGTGACATCTGAGCCAGTCAGTTTTTTTTGTTTGCATTTGGACAGTGGACTGTGGTGGACCCATGTTGGATCTATGAGCTGATGGATGTAAATGGACTTGTGTTCTTTTGCATTATGTTACATATAGGTCTATATAGGACTATAGGTCACATTTAGGTCCAGAAAAATTGACACAGTTCTTTTCCGCTTTTTTTTCTGGACCTCAGATGTTGGTGGATGAAAATGGACATGGACAGAAGTCCAATTGCATCCACCTACTCCTTGATCTGCAGTGAGCTTCTGATTCAGTCAACCTGAAAGCCTGACAGGTAGTCTGTGTGAAAGGGTCTTAGTGAGCGGGCTTATTGAGCCTTGAACAATCTTTGAGTGATCGGATAGTTTATATGGGCATGCAGGGTAAATCCACTCAGGTATTGGATACAGAAGAGCATCAAATGTCCCTGTTATTTAGGCAGTGTTCTGACTGTGACCAGACCGCCCCCAGTGGAAGCAAAACAAATCAATAGGCAGCCTGACCACATGTGTCCTGAGCAATGGGGTATGGTGCTGCCCTAGGCAACACCAAATTCACCCCCCACCCCAGGGAGAGAGCCTGACATTGACCACAACAACATCCCTGCCCCCCACCCGAGAGAACCTTCTACTACCATCGCCCCCATACACCCGCCACTCCCCTCCCAGGGAGAGAGAGAAAGATACTCACCTTTACAGTTCTGGACATCCCCAGGAATGAGAGTCAAGCAGCCCGCAGCCTCTCTTAGATCCCATTTGGTCCCCAAGCCACATGTGTCCCTTCTTCCATCCCTTCTTCCAGGGGGTGGTGCTGCCCCACTGAAAAATGCCGCCCTAGGCAAATGCCTTGTTTGCCTTGTGGTAAATACGCCAAGGGGTCTTGTGTTGTTTGACTTATTTTAGGTCTTGGCATATGTAAACCCTCACCATGTAAAACAACCCATTCAGTTTAAAAGAGAAATAAAAGGCAATACATTTGTGCATACATATAAAAATATTCTACATTCCTTTTATCTTTTTTTATACAGTATATGATCACATACCCTCTGTTCTCAGCTGCATAAGGAGCTCAGAGAGCTGGGGAGGAGAAGCAGCAGCACACTGATCTTCCCAGTGAATGGCTGTACAGGGTGAAGCATTTCCAGACAAGTCTGATCATTGGAGTTGAGCAGGCTGGGTTTCAGCACAACCAGAACACTGACCACGCTGTGCACTATTCTTTGTGTGGTCAGTTTTTAATAGGAACGCAGAGGGTCTAGCATGAATTTCACACAATGAAAGCAATACCAAGAGAAAAGGTTTTTTTTTTTTTATACAAGTACATGGTACAGTAGGCACATATCAGGAATATGAATTGTTGGATTTACATGTTCTTTAAATCTTGCACCTTCAAAATTTATATCAGAGAAATTTAAACCGACCCCCATATCTTTTTTTTGGTGTGAAGACTACATGAACATGATATTTTGCAATTTTTGTGTATATGTGACACTTCAATTGCACACAAGTAGGATCTCTTCAACAAAATATGTTACTGCTGTGTGTATAAGAGTTGATTTAGAGGTTCATAGCAAACTGTGTGAAACTGTGCAGTCAAGGTTCGTCAATATTTATTTGCAAATTATTTTACAAAATGATGCAGCTAAAAGTATCAACTTTTACATTATGTATATAAAAAAAGTATATATATCTTCAAATACATATACAGGTGCCGCGCTCCATAATATAAACTTAAAATCATATACAAGTGATCATATAAATAGTGATGTGAAAAACTTATGTGCTTCAAATCAGTGCAACATTTAGTGCTTTTCAAAATATTACTAATTAAATACTCAAAAATAAATTCATAAATAGTCCTCTTTGTGCTTTAATTCTTTTCAGTGACAAATACAGTGTTGTGCCACACTCCCCGTGCTCTATAGATAGGTGTGCGCTCACCTCCTTAATTAGCCAAACAAAGTGGCTAACAACGCTTTTGTCCTATCAGGACTGGGTGGTAATCTTCATACTATATATGTATTTCCATCCATGCCGTGGATTTATATTGCCTTTTTCCTGCCACCAGAGGTCTCCCTTATTCCTCCTTCCACACTGAGCCTCAATGGATAGTTAGGGATGGTTTAAGTAGTATTTCCTCCTCCCAGTATATTGGGAAACCATGTAAGAAAGAGCCACAATAGTGCCCTATCCTTTGTGAGGTTAAATCTTTTATTTAGAATAAATCGCCACTCACATTATGCAGTATCCAACAGAGCTGTGCCCAGATCCTGTGCTTGTAAATGCCGCTCGTCCACCGCGGCGTCGTGACGTCAGAACCCCTCCCCTACGCGTTACGCCACAGGGCTCTGAGGAAGAGGCAAGTCCTCGAAACGCGTCAACCTATTGGATGTCTACACTCCCTATTGTGGACTGTTACTCAGCGCGGTGTTGACCCAGCTGTTCTTTATGATGTGCCTTGACTATATTGTCGTTTATATCATATTAATGATATGACCCTGTGGCGTAACGCGTAGGGGAGGGGCTCTGATGTCACGCCGCCGCGGTGGACGAGCGGCATTTACAAGCACAGGATCTGGGCACAGCTCTGTTGGATACTGCATAATGTGAGTGGCGATTTATTCTAAATAAAAGATTTAACCTCACAAAGGATAAGGCACTATTGTGGCTCTTTCTTACATGGTTTCCCAATATACTGGGAGGAGGAAATACTACTTAAACCATCCCTAACTATCCATTGAGGCTCAGTGTGGAAGGAGGAATAAGGGAGACCTCTGGTGGCAGGAAAAAGGCAATATAAATCTACGGCATGGATGGAAATACATATATAGTATGAAGATTACCACCCAGTCCTGATAGGACAAAAGCGTTGTTAGCCACTTTGTTTGGCTAATTAAGGAGGTGAGCGCACACCTATCTATAGAGCACGGGGAGTGTGGCACAACACTGTATTTGTCACTGAAAAGATATAAAGTACAAAGAGGACTATTTATGAATTTATTTTTGAGTATTTAATTAGTAATATTTTGAAAAGCACTAAATGTTGCACTGATTTGAAGCACATAAGTTTTTCACATCACTATTTATATGATCACTTGTATATGATTTTAATTTTATATTATGGAGCGCGGCACCTGTATATGTATTTGAAGAGATATATACTTTTTTATATATTTTATGTTTCACACAGATAATGAGTATTGTGTAAAGTGTTGATGCACCATAATTTGATGTAATAGTTTGTTGATTAATTTATTGCACAAGGGGAGTATCACATTTTGGCTCACGAGTACTATTAATTTCATCAACTTTTACATTATGAACTATTTTGTGGTTATTACATTTTAGATGTGCGATGCCTATAAATTTAATTTAAAAAACAAATAAATGCTCTGTCTTCTAGGGTGGTACAATCGGCTGTATATTAATTTCACACTGAGACGTCACATTTTTTTCTTCCTGCTGCAAACATATTTCCCTGCGACTCTTATGGTCATGCTGTCCTGGGTCTCATTCTGGATAGATCGCAGAGCCGTTCCTGCCAGAGTTTCCCTTGGTAAGGCAGCAATCCTTTCTATGTATATATGGATGGAAAAAAAAAAGAGTGTGGAAAAATAATTTTCTTTTATACCTATTATTAAGATATAGACAGGAGCCAGTTACCCTACCAGCATGTGATTAACAACAGAAAAAAAAAGCTGGCCACTCGGTAAACTCCTCTTGTCATTCTTTATTGGCTACATATTAAGAATACAGTACTGACGCGTTTCGGCTATACAGCCTTCCTCATAGCATAATATAATTCTAAAAACCATCACATAAACTTAGACCCTTCTCCACAAATAATTATAGAAGCAGATTAAAAATTATTAAGAACAATTTGTGTGTAATCCAAAACACTTGGAAAGAACATTCTAAGAAATGCTGAGAACTCCCACCAGGAAAAACAACAGAATTGCAAGTCTAATACCTGATTACATAATTACTTCAAAAATAAGTCTATATCCCATCTATTGTTTAAGCCAGATGGTCTTCTTGTGTGTAAAGTATGTATCCACCACACATCTCTCTGCAATAAAATGTGATCTAGGTTTCTGATGCCATGAAAAGAAAAGGAATCCAGAATACCATTATGGACGTCTCCAAAATGTTTTGAGAAATTTGATATATTTTTTGCATTCCAATTGTCTGTGTCATTGAAGTGCTCTGAGATTCTAATTCTTAAGGGTTGTATTGTGCACCTTACACATTCAACTTTACATATGTCACACTCTATTGCAATGTTTCTCAACCGGGGTTCTGCAGATCCCAAGGGTTCTGCGAGAGGTCCCCAGGGGTTCTGCTGCAGATCAGCATTGTGGCGGATGTATACCGCCCAATGTTGTTTGCAGTAGTGTTCTTAACACGTGCTGGCAGTCAGTACTGTCAGCTCACATTGATACTCGATGCCTCCTCTGTACAGTGGTACCTCGGTTTACGAATGCCTCGATTAACTTAATTTTCGGTTTACGGATGAAAATTCATTGAAAAATATTGCCCCGGTTTATTAATTTTTTTTGCAATACCAAGCAAGTTTTCCCAGGATGCATTGCGTCTGGGAGGTTTACAGCACTCCCCTGTGCATGCTGGAATCTGTGGGTAGCACGCGGTGTCGAGTGTGGAGGTGTTTTTCAGTGCATTCCTATGGGAAACCGCATTTCGGTTTACGATTTTTTTGCAATACGAAACGTCCCAGAGAACGCATTAAATTCATAAACCGAGGTACCATTGTAGTTCTGCCTCCTGTGAACTCAGAGGGAGGCACCGGGAGTAGAGCACAGAGCAGAGAAGGGAGAGGTGTCACTTTCTACGGCAGTGCTGATCACAAGACGGTGGGAGGGAGCACAAAGCGTGAGCCCGTGACTGGGACACTAGGTGAGATCTCTTGATGACTCTGTGTAGTGATGCCAGCAGAGTGCAGGGAAGGGGGGGTGCAGAGGAGGGGGCAGAGGGATGTAGGGCAGCAGTCAATACAGACTGAAGATTGAGCACGTGGCTAAAGCAGGAGGTGACATCCAGTGTTTGGCAGCAGTGATGCAGACTGCAGAGAGAGGTAGCACACAGTTGGAGGAGACTGAATGTAGCAGGAGGTGAGATCATATTAGCTCTATGTTATACCATAACTGTACATGAAGCTATTATGATCTCACCTTCTGCTACATTGAGCCAGAGTTCACAATGATGTGGTGCGGAATTCGCAGCGGTTTTTGAGCGAATTCCGCACAGCATTAGTCGCACCCTGTTCCTGTGAACCGATGCAGGTGTGTATGTTAACAACACCCCGAAATCGGTCCGCAAAGCGCGGTGCGATGTGCAGAATTGGATCGCATAGGTGTGAATACCCATGCAATCCGATTCTAGTGCAGACCAAAAAAGGATCCTGCACCTTTTTGTGCAGTGCAGATGCGAGTGAACCATACAAAATGTATGGCTCCAATCGCAACGCACAGAATTGGCATGTGATTTGCACAGGAATGCGGTTCCTGTGTGGATCACATGCGATATGCCGCACCACATAAGTGTGTACCCAGGCCCAGTCTCATCCTATGTGCCCCTGCAGGCTTCATTCTGCACTGCCATACACTGGATGTCACCCTCTGCTACATTATTCCATTTGTTCCCACTCTCTGCTTCCCCCGCCACAGTCTGCATTCACTGGTGCCATACATAAGATGTCACCTCCTGATCAAGCCACATGTTCCCACTCTCTACACTCCACTCTATGCCACCCTCTGAGTTCACAGGAACCACAAGTACAGAAGAGGCGTCAGGTATCAATGCGCACTGTCAGTGCATATTAAAAACAACATTGGGTGGATATACATCTGCCACAATATGGATCTGCGGTGGAACGCCCTGTGAGAAACCCTATGCTATGGATTTGCAGAGCTGTGCAGGGAAGCATACTGTTATTTACTGCACTGTTTCCCACAGGTTCTCCTCTTCTGTCTCAGGCTGTTAAATGTAATATCACCTGGGATGGACGAGAGGAAAGCTAGTGGGGATCAAAGAGAAAAGGCACGTTACAACAGCTTCCCTGAACTGCTCTGCATTTGTTTCATTGTTGTGATATTTAAAGCTCGCTGATCAGATCCAATGTTCTGTGAGCTGTAGATTTGAAGCCTTTTTTTTCTGGGGGTTTCCTAAGATCTCAAACTTTTTGCCAAGGGTTCCTCCAAGGTAAAAAAGTTGAGAAACACTGCTCTATTGCATACAACACTGACTTCGTATTACAGTTAAAGTGTTACTAAACGCAGGACTGTGCATTCACTCTTGTGACTTATATCAGTGTCCAGCAGAGCACTGGCTAAAGCTTGTAGGAGGAGTTTTCATTCTGCTCTAGGAGGATGCAGAGCCCCTGACCTCTGTCTGGACAGTGCTGATTGGCCCTTTGCTGATCACATGCACTCTCCCAAGAAAAAAAAAAACCTCTCTAGCAATACACACCAAAATGAGCATGTGCAGAGTGACTCCACATGATATGTCTTATCAAGAGGTAAGAGGGGGGCACTGGAAGAAGGGGAGGATCAGAGAAGTTAGGATCAAACAGTGTTTTTACACAGTGCAGAGGATTAACCCCTTAGGTTCCACAGTGAGTATATCAAGCATGCTTTACCGCATATACATTCTGATTTGACTGTTGTGGGTTTAGTAACACTTGTTTAATTTCATAAGCTTTGCCAGTACTGAAGGATACAGTTCTAGTGATTTTTTTTTATGTTTCTTGCAGTATCTGCAAGTAACATGCCTGCAACAATAAGACCCTTTTGTGGATAGCCACAAGTTTGGGATTTTTTCTAACTTTTCACTTTCATTAATAATGGTGAACAGGACAAATAGAGAGGGTGAATATTCCTAACGGGGTACAGACAGTAATAAAAACTGACAAGTGTTCTAATCCCTCTCCATTCTATGCTAAATTAAAACAAAAAAAATGTGCCTTTAGTGACACTTTAATGTGACTGATGATTCATTAAACAGGGAGGACATTGCAAAACACAGATTAAAGTGATACTAAACACACCGGAACCACCTCTGCCATAGTGGCCCAGAAAAACCCAGAGTAGACTCCACCTTAATCTCCCAGATACGATCTCATGCGAGGTGATACATAGCGGCCATCGATATATATATATATATATATATATATATATATAAAATTGTATTATTTTTTACTTTTTAAATAATATCATGATTTTAAATGAATATGAATTTAAAAAATACAATCCAGTAATATAAAATTAATTTTATTGAAAGTAACGCACATAATTGGACAGAAAATAAAATGAAATAGATATTCAATTAAAAAACGTAAAAAGAGGTGTTTTTGCATTGAACTCCATAGGGGGAATTTTTCCATTGAAGTCAATGGGTTGTGATTTTGCATTGAAATCAAGGGGATGCGATTTTGCATTGAAGTCAATGAGACGCGATTTTCCATTGAAGTCAATAGGGGGTGTTTTTACATTGAAGTCAATGGGGCACAATTTTGTATTGAAGTCAATGGGACACGATTTTGCATTGAAGTCAATGGATGCAATTTTGCATTGAAGTCAATAGGGTGCGTTTTTGCATTGAAGTCAATGAGATGCGATTTTGCATTGAAGTCAATGGGACATGATTTTGCATTAAAGTCAGTAGGGGGGGGTGTTTTTGCATTGAAGTCAATGGGATTCGATTTTGCATTAAAGTCAATTATCATTATCGGCCCTTTTTTTCTATTGGCAAACTGAAGACAATCCTATTATCAGCCGATAATTTTCGGCGGCTGATATTTCAGTGCATCACTGTCATTTACTGTGCTGTGTGCGACAACTCTTCATCCTCTACAAGGTCTACCCAGAAGGAGTTGCGGTGTAAAACCATGTGCCCTCTATGCACATATGACCAACATCAGTGAGAATCAAGTACATTCTGGTTCTTTGGATGTAAATATTGGCTTTTTGGTTGTGAGCTATTACAAAATGCCGACCATAGAATTTTAGATGTGGTTTTGTAGGGAACAAAGCACCGGTTTTGGCCAAAAGAAGAATTTATTGACCTTGACCTTTACACTGCTAAAATATTATATGGCCTATAGAGTATTTTGATTGCTGTCAGTATAACTCATGCTGTAATTGTTTTGAGGTGGAATCAATGCTTTCCATACACTGTCTGCACTTCCTTTGTGCTCTGTCCATTGTTTTTGAACATTTTAATTAAAACAAATTGTTGAGTATTATGGTACTTACACTGCATATCAAGGATATTTCTCTTTTGTCCCACATTTTAACCATTCCAAAACAGTATATGGATATATTGTGCCAAAGCAAATGGGGTTCAATGATAATATGGGATTTGAATTCTGTATTAAAAGATCTTTTTATCTCAGGTATAACAACAGTGCTGACCATGTCAACCATCATTACTGGAGTGAACGCCTCCATGCCCCGAGTATCATACATTAAAGCTGTTGACATTTACCTGTGGGTTAGTTTTGTGTTTGTGTTTCTATCGGTGTTGGAATATGCTGCTGTCAATTACCTGACGACAGTGCAAGAGAGAAAAGAGAGGAAGATGAGAGAAAAGGTAAGAAAACATGTGGGCATAACATCATCTAATTGAAATGTTGGTTTTTTGTTGTTATGAGCACACTTCTGTAAAAACTTCAACAAATGTACAATGAGGATGTAGAGGATGTAAAAGACTCCCTTTGCCATCAATCTGAAAGTGAATTCTTGTCAGGTGTCCACCCGGATATACCTCACTTGCCAAAATACTTACAAAGTTCCACTTCTATCAATGACAAAAGTGATGATTTCATAACTACTACTGTTGACACAAGTTCAGCATTTTAAATCCACAGAATATTTGAGCATTGCATATAGCCTTCTATGGACTGGGTTCTCTTACATAAAGGTGAAAAGCAAGCCAGGACATGTTGTATATAATACTTTTTATTTTAAAATATTAGTGTATTTTTATAGATTATCTTGAATCAGCATTTTGGGATGTCTTTTATTATACATACATATCTGAATAGAAGCCAATTGTAGAGTATGTTAAAATTAGACAACAAATTGTTCATAAAATAAAAGTTGTTTATTATTAAAGAGACTGTCATTATCAACCTACGTCTATAACATCTGATATTGCATACACGGAGGGGTTGACTTACTAAAAGCTACAGAATGTTCACTTTGCAAGGGAAGTTGAACTTTGCAATGGATTGTGCCCAGGGGCGGACTGACCATTTGGAAACTCGGGCACTGCCCGAGGGCTTGGGGTCAGTAGGGGGCCCCATGAGATGCCCCTGGTACCTTTTTCATAGGCTTTTTTTGAGTTTGGGCAAGGATACAGGGGCCCCATGGTCCCCTACTGCCCGGGGGCCCCATGAGTTGTCAGTCCGCCCCTGATTGTGCCCCAAAATTTAGTGAATGCAGTGCAGTTTCACTTTCCAAAGAATACTCAATCTAATGCAAGAAAAATTAAAAAACTGTATTTTTGCTTGCACATAATTGGATAATGGAAGTCAGCAGAGCTTCACCTTATTTATTAAGGTATAGAGAAAAATCCCTCGCAAAGTGCAAACCTCCTTTAGAAAGCAAACAGCTTATTAGTAAATCAACATTAGTATATTCCAGCTCAGTGACTTAGAAAAAACTAAAGCCTTTGGAAATTAGCAGTGGCAGCATACATATTTTGCACAGTCTGGGTTCACCATAAGGCCTTTTCACCTGCAGTCCCTATATTAACATTCCTTAATATGGTATCTGTGATACAGACACTCATTTGTTTTATTCCCTTGTGTCACCGGGACAGTAAATGAGGGGAAATCTACCCAATGAGGAAGCGAACAAAAAAAATCTTTACATTAGTTCTAACTCTTGCTCGCTCTATTAAAAAGTAAAAAATGTTTTTGTTGGGCTGGAGTTTATTGGTACTTCTGACAAAGCCACACATTTTTTGGACTCAAATGTCAGCTCAGTACATCTAATAAACCATCAGCATACCTTGCATACAGTACCTTGCAACAGTGGTAACCTAAACCAGCATACAAATTAAAGTGGTTGTCAAGGGTAAAGGTTTTGTTTTGTTTTTTACCTTAAAAGTGGTTGTAATCCTCAGTCATGGAATACTGAACAAAGTATATCCCTCTATAGTGTGTTTTTTGTCTCAGTTAAGAGTGCTAAGTGTCATTTCTTTCTGCTGCTTTGTTCTGCTGCTATTAGCATGAATCACATCTGACAGGTTGTTCTGACACCAAGAGAAATATGGTGACAGGAGATTGACAGCCTCAGCTCTGTTTCTGTGAGCTGTGTGGAGAGGGGGGTGTCTCTTCCCTCTAATCAGCTCTCTGAGCTCTCCTCACTGAGCTCTGCAGTGTGTAGTTTCCACTCTTTGCCCTTTTTTTCTGAACTCTCAGACAAGCTTTCTAAATTCAGTACTTGAACAGATGTAGAGAGGAGAAGACTGTAGATAAACAGGTAAAACTTATGTAGGAGGATTTGTTTAATCTCTGTTTATCACCTGGGGCCAGTCACTCTATTTGGGATATGTAAGGGTTTACAACCACTTTAATGCATTCTCTGCAATGTAGTAAAAAACCTTTTACTTGCAGTTCCCCCTGCCCCCCCCCCCATCAATACTTACCTGAGCCCGATCTTGGCACCACTCGCTCTCTTTCCCTCCTCATTGGACTCAGTTAGACCACGAGAGCGCGGGCAGGGCAGAACTGTAATGTGTGTGTCAATAGATGCACACAGTGCAGCCCAGAATCAAACCTGCACAAGAACCCCCATAACAAGGGCCCCCCCGACATTCAGTGGGAGGGGGGGGGCAGGACGTGAGCGTGGGACCGCAGAAGTGAAGGATCAAGGCCACTCTGTGCAAAACAATTGCACAGAACAGGTAAGTATAACAGTTATTTTTTTTTTTAAAGAGATCTTACAATCACTTTAATCTTTCTAGCATTCGGCACTAAAAATGATGTTAGAAGAAATTTCAGTGGGGACACAGACAAGATTCAAACAGGGTTCAAATACCTCCCCAACCAGAAAAAAAGGCTTTGGCTGGAGTATAGCTTTGAATATCTAAATATAAAGTACATTTGCGTTCCACGCAGGCCCAAGGGATTTAGCTGGAAAGCTAACAAAAATTATAAACACACACATATACTGTATATATATCATACAGTATATACTGTATATCTACAAAACGTACAATGAACTCAAAGATAAGCCATGGTTTATCCTTACACTGGGACAATATTATTGTGAAAATGTAAAATTAAGAACAAAATATGCATAAATGCCTATTTACATTTATTCATTTTGGTTACTATTTTTATAGTCAACTATGTATGTAATGTCATTAGCATTTGTCCCTTATGGTCATGAGTGTATATCCACTTTTGTAGTCAAATTTGAGAAAGCCCCACCATATGTTTATTATGTTCCCATTCACACAGCCTACAAAAAATAATAAAAAAAATATTTCTCATTCCTAGGTGTTCGTTTGTAACAGGCCTGGGGCAGACTTCATTCTACTCTGACCAATTTTAAATGAGGGTAAACTTAATCTGTCCCCACTGACATAGAAGAAGATAATTGAAGTTGATTTACAAAATCTGGTGCAGCCTTGCATAGACACCAAACAGCTTCCAGGTTTTTTTTCAAAGTTTAGTTGAACAATCTAAAGTTAGAAGCTGATTGGCTACCATGCACAGCTGTACCAAATTTTGCACTCTCCAGTTTTAGTAAATTAACATACAATGCAGAAGCTCAGCTTCTAGATATCTATACCTTTGTTATGACTGACAACCTATATTCAAATCTAGTTTACAACTCATAATGAGATCTGCAAGTACAGTACAGACAGGGTTCATTTTCTAAAGCATTAACTCCCCAGCCCCTTGACATAGCAGAGGAAAATTTCAGCTTTGGAGTTAAAAAAAAAAGAAAGCAAAATGTAAGCAATTATGCTATATGAAAGGGCTGCATGTGACAAATATAAAGTAGGTTTTATCACAATTTAGCTGCAAAAGTGGAAATACACTTAAAAAAATTATCTAAAATGAAAATTTGCTACTGGCATTAATACCATGGCAGTCTGGTCCCCAGACACTTTCTCTCTCCTGAAGCAGTGTAAGCTTCTCCAGGTCAGTGGTACCCTTGGTCAGTGCCCTGCTCAGGACCATTATTAGAAATCATGGGGCCAAGTACAGCCTATTTGATAGCTCCCCCTCCTACCCACAGGTACTGATGTGCTCCTTTATTGGTGACCCTGGACCAGGCAGTATTTAGGGGGTAAACAATGACAGCCCACATATATTTCGAGGTACTGGTTTTCTTTTAAACAAAAAAAAAACGGGATCTGCCTCCTTTCAGACTCTTCCATTGTGATCAGTCCCAAGCAATATGATAGGGATACTATATCTGGTCATGTCCTGTGCTCACCAGTCTTCCTGCCTAACATGTGATAAGTGCAGTCATTCTTCCTCCTGTCTTCCCACCCAGCGCAACCTCAATCCTCAGTCCCTCCATTTTTCCCTATGCCAACTTCAATGACATCTGCCTGCCATGAAATGGTCAGTGATCAGTCCCAGGCAATGTGCTGAAGATCCCTAACAATACACCAGTCATTTCCCGCACTCACCAATCTTCCTGCCCAGAGTGTGATCAGTGTATAGATTGCTGAGTCCCCCTTCCTTCTCCCCATTCACTTCTCCATGATCCTCCTTTCCAGCTTTACCCCACTCCATCCTCCCTTCTGCTAGCATTTCCAACAGCCCAGCTTCTTCCTTTGCCTGCCACATGACTGTTGGGTCTGGGTCTCTCTGTTCCCCCAAAGGGGCCAGAGTCCACTATGATAGAACTGATTGTACTCCCTAATGGCAACCCTAACCTTATTTCTACTTAAAGCTCCAAGCTATGACCAAGGGTGGTCTATATGTGAGGCACAAGCACTGATTGGCTGGGCTCACATATAAAACAAAGGCATACGTATGTGCAGAAAATTAATGTTGTATCTAATTTCATTGCTGAAAATTGCTCTAATGGATGTTATCTAATTCTGCACTGTGGATTAGCCTTGGGGCATAGATTCATGGAACAATTAAAATAAAACACTTTGATATTAGTGTGTGTGCTTATAAAATGCCCCACTACATTTTCAGCAAAATTTGTAAACATCTCAGTTTCATAGTTTCCCAAATTGACCTTGCATGCTGGCATAGTCAGTATGTTTCATCCAAAAAGCTTTGCGTAAGAAAATATTTCAATCAAATGTGTAATTAAAAAGTTACAAACACAGATATCAATTTTATTATGAACCTTAATTAAGGTCACTATGTCCTTTGTTACAATTTAAGTTCATTATTTTCAAATAATACAAATCTTTTTTCCCATTTTAAGTTAATTAGCTGCTTAATATGCTTTAAGCAATTTTTTACATGCAGAAATGCAATGAGCTGTGTTAATACATTTCTTGTTTACAAATTGACAACAGTAAGATGCAGCTAATAAGAGCTCACTGTTTCCTTTTCAGTTTCCCTGCACATGTGGGATGTCTCACACAAAGACAATGATGCTGGATGGAATGTATGGCGACCCTGACACGAACAGTCTGGCTGGATACACTAAAAGTCAGATTGCCACGGAAGACGTGGAGAAGCAGGACAAAATGGTGGTGCATTTGACCTTGAGTCCAAATTCTAGTACCTCCAGGAAAAAAGGAATTAAGGGCCATGTTGGCTTGCGGCTAATGCAACATACTCACACAATTGACACATATTCAAGGATGATCTTTCCAGCGTCATTTATCTTTTTTAACTTGATATATTGGTCTGTGTTCTGTTAAGAATCACAGTGGAGGACTCTCTTCACATTTAAGACTCTTTCACCATGTGAATAATGGGAATGTGGGATCTAAATTAAATGCCTTTGCTATTTTATAACTATTATTGCTGTTATCCATTAAAAGAACAAATACCTCAGTAAACTGACAGGTATGTTACTTTACAACTATAGGATAAAAAGGCCCTAAAGCACAAATTAATTTACATTTTTGCAATTACAATTTTTGATTGGAATGATTTTTTATTTCTATGTTTGCTGTCGCAGAACATATATGTATTACTACTTTTAATATTGGACGCAGTCAACAAAGGACCCCTGTGGAGACAGATGTTTGGACCCCCCAATTCAATAAATGTTCATATACAAACACTTCATCACTGGGTATAGATAGATGCAGGTAAAGTGGCCTATAGATATTTATCTGCAGACTACTTTGTCTGTCTTGGCTCAGACATCAAATTTCCTGCCCAAATGGCATCCTGAAGAAATATCTTAATGCCAATCAGGCAAAGATACTTGCTGTTTGACACCAAATTTATCTTGGAACCCCAGAGAACAATCAGGTCTTCATGAAGAATGTCTTCTACGTCACACCTGCTCCAGGAGTGAGCAGTGCCCAGATCTATGTAAATAAGTGAGTAAAGCACTTCTTGTAGGAAGGGTCCCCTATATCTCAGAAGCCCCAGATGTACTTCTGGGTTCCAGGCTGCTACAGATGTCACCTGCCGGCTGGGGTAGCAATCTCGGTGGGGGTGGAAGGCAGGAACATTTTACAGAGGGACCCAGCTGCTAGAGTCACCAAGAAATGAGTGATTCAACATGCTGGCATGCACACAAGAATATAATTTTAGATTTGGATGAACCTGACCTTTAAACACACTATTTCAAGATAATAATTAGTAGAATATTTGAATTTACATATCACTACTTTACTCAATGTATATGTAAGTTAATTAATTGCCAAGTACTCCACATAGGAGCTGACCAGAGGCATTACAGTGTGGTTAAACATGCAGGCTTAATCCAGATACGTGAAGATTTTCTTTTTACAGACATTTGCAGTGTTGGAACAATTAAGTGTCCATGTTTTTGCATGTAGTGTATAGAGAGGGATACATTGAGTGCCAGCATCCCAGCAGAAACCAGTAGCAGTTGTCCACAAGTCTCCAGTATGGCCAACTGCTATTTCTCCTGAATTCTGGTACCAAGGATGTTTGGCAGGGTCAAAATGTGACCACAGTCTTAAATATCATTGACACTTAGTGCATATCATTGTCCAGGCAGTCTTTTCTGTAGCTGGTTTACATATTGGTTCTCCCTTTGCAAAAGAGGATCAAAGGAACCAGACTATCTTTTGCATGTGGACACATTATTTATTATTATTATACAGGATTTATACAGCGCCAACAGTTTGTGCAGTGCTTTACAAAATGAAGGTAGACATTACAGTTACAATACAATTTGGTACAAGAGGAAACAGAGGACCCTGCTCGTTAGAGCTTACAATCTAGGAGACACATACTTTAAATATTCTAACAATCATACAGAAAAGGTAACATAGGATACCATTTTTGACATGTATATGCTGCATAAATTTCACAAGTTTTGAAAAATATTTTGATGTATTATTTCTGAATAGTGCACATAGGCTTTTGAAATCAGTTAAAGAGGCTTCTTCCTCCATGTTCTCTGCGCCAGCCCACCAATGACATGTCAGAGCTTGCACGTGCACTTTACAAGATCTGTTCAATTTGTTATTGTTTATACTTTGCTTTAACTGTAGCCACATAAACGTCATTGGGCGTTTATGCCAAAGCAATATTGAAATAATAGCAAATTCTGCTTAATTGCCAAAGATGCACGTGCAAACTGAAGAGCCAGTACCTGTTAGTCTTCTCTGTTGAAAAAAAAGCCTTCTCACATGAGATCTTGCAGTTAACACAAGAGAGCTACCTGGAAGGATGGGTGACGTAGTATTCCTAGGGGGCTGCTGGGAGGCACTGGCTACATCTCCAGTGTCTCTGGAAAGTGGAAGTAAAAGAAATTTAAGTGTAAGCTCACACAAATAATATTTGTTTCACATAAGACTGGAATGTGTTTTCAGAGGTGCATACACCTGTGCTTTTCAGGTTTAGGAAGGATAGGTCTTCTTTAATGCAGTACACTGTGAAAATTAAAATCAAGTACAGAGAGATTTTGAACTTGGAAAAATTGTGTTTGTTTTCTCTGTGAGTACCTCACTAGATGGCTTTGAGTTTAGCTGAAAAAGTGAAGAAAAATTAATTTTTTTCACAGATGCTAGAGATACTGTGTCTGGTAATGATGGGTAAAATCATGGAAGTCTAATTGCTCTCATAAACTAACATAATTGTTTATATATATCAATATAAAATATTATACTTATGTAACAGAATGGCATAGATATGAATACAGAAAGTTAATTATACGCATTTGCTTTCATTAGTATATCATTACCTGGAAATGCAAAGCTAATCAACAAGAGAGACAAATATTATCAAAGCGCATACATTACTGTATTGTATGGTTTGAACCTGAAGGATATGGACTGAATTTCAGTATTTTCCAGTTTATTATTATACTACTGAAAATGTGATTGCAGGGCTTTGCATTATGCCAACTGATCATCATAATAATAGTGCATAATGGGTGCCCTAAACGGCATCCAAAGCATTTAATATTCATGCAGCACAATAATTTCATGATGTTAGCTGTTGTACCTCCAAGTTTAAGGTTGGGTTTGGCAGCTATACAGAAGCAGGTTACAGCCACCATTGACAAATTGCAACCAAAGGACTGCTGCCACACATAGCTATTTTCAGTACAGTACAATATGTGGTAAATATACATTCATAAAACTTTCTTGGTCACATGATCAGAGGGTAGTAGTTGAGGTTACTAAGACCAACCATAGCTATCTGTACTGTTGGAATTATTGAAGAGAGGGGCACCAGACTAAGTGCAGTATTAACAGATATTTTAATAGCACAAATGATTGGGTAACTCACTAGATGAAAGTGGATAAAAGGCATGTTTCTCAAGAGTAGACGTCTTCCTGGTGGAAATCCCGGAGGCAGAAGGGGAGGGTGGATGGACATCTGGGGGTCTGACGAAGAAGCAGTTGCTTTGAAACTCGTTATTGCCCCCTTCTTGCGGCATTATGCTTACGTGGTGACATCACATCCGCCCGGCAGCCATCTGCATTTCAGCCTGGTTTCCAAAACAGCCACAGCCACGGGATACTGGTTGACAAACGATGTGAATCAGGAGACCTGGCTTCCTCCACAGCCTTTGCTCCCAGATGTCCATCCACCCTCCCCTTCTGCCTCCGGGATTTCCACCAGGACAATGTCTACTCTTGAGACACATGCCTTTTATCCACTTTCATCTAGTGAGTTACCCAATCATTTGTTAATGCTGCACTTAGTCTGGCGCCCCTCTCTTCTGTCCTCTTCCAAAACAGAGTCCAGCTTTACTCTTAGGGTGCTGCCTCATGATGTTGCTGAGTATACTGTAATATACGGACTACTCCATCATAATAAATTGGACTCAAAAGTCTTCCTCTCTCTCCAGCACCAATACCTTTAACTTTCTGTTGGAATTATTGCAGCACAACTGGAAGAATGCATCTTTAAGCTTCGGTGGATATTTCTGGCACAAAATTCACATTTTAGGTGACCCTGTAATATTCATGAGAAGTCTATATTCCTTCATTCTGGTAACAACTTAGCCTCCTCCAGCTGTTATGTTCCAGAAGTCATTTGTGCTGCCTATACAAGTTACCAGTTGCTGGGAAGAGCACACTGAACTATTTCCTTTAGCTCACTCATGATGTATGAAGGTCATTGCAAGCTGTTGCAGAATAGAGGAACATGTGCGGGAGAGGAAGCACAAAGGATACTTCTGGTGATATCATGGAATAAGACACCCCTGGGAAAACCATCAGACAGCATTAATCATTTCTCTGTGTGATAAAAACAGTTGCATTCAGTATAAAAAAAAAGGAAATCAGAGTCTTGCAGCAGTAATACATATTAAAATGCAAGATTTCTATTCTATTAAGAAAAGTGAAAAAAACAAACAATGTGCCGCACAGAGATTCTAGATGATAGCATTAACGGAGATTTGTAAATATAACTGTATTTATTACACAGTGTATAAAATGCTTAGATCTAAAACTAAATTGCACATAGCAGCTTTTAACTGACATATTACACTTTGACCTGGTTTATTTCTACCTATATGTATGTACAATTATATGTATATATTTATATTATATATGTATATAAAAGTCAGACCTAACACATCAACGATGTATATAAAGTGTATATTACATTTTCTATGTATATATTACGGTTGATAACAGTAATTACAGTATACAAACCTAGACCTTGCTTCATGAATACAATTCTTTATCTAAACTTTTTAACAAAATAAATATTATTGATTATAAAAAGGCATATTCAGTAAATATATTAAGTGCTTTTTACTGAATAATGTCTAGATGTAACACTTTGCTTTTTAATTATATCAGTAATGCTATTAAAACTTTTTTTTATTCTTTTTATCTTTGATGTAAAGTATATATATAGATATTTCAAATGCTGCTCAATAAAATGCTTCATAACTATCCTGAAATATATATGTCATAATTAATGTCAAAACTTAAGGTACTGCTTTAGTCTTGCATAGCCTGCACCAAAATAGGCTTGGGTCATTTAATGCTATTAAAGTGAATGGTAGGAATGTGTTAATATCTTTTTTCAGTTTCAATAATGAGTCATTTCTAATTCATCAGCAGGTTTCTCACAGCTTTTGGAGACTTTTGTCAAGATTATCTTGCTGTTTCAGGCAGCAATTCCTCTAATTTAGAGTCTTATTTTTAAAGCTGAAGCAAGGGGGTTTGAAACATCTTGCCACATTATCCATTCTATAAAACAAATGAAAAATCAACATGGTAAAGTGGATCATTCTTGTAATGGC